TCAAGAATCTATCTATCATTCATCCTCAAATGTATATATATATATATATAAAGTGGGAATTATTTGAGTCAACAGAAGTTGGGTTTGTGAATACATATATATATATATATATATATAAATGTATATAAGGGAAAACACAAGAGACCTAAAACTTGGGAAATTGGACAGAGCAGCCACATCTGCGTCTGGGTATCAATGGACATTGTATGAATTGGGAGCCTGACTTGTCAACACACATATAAATCTGGTAGAGCTGACTGTTCCCACATGGATCCACATTGCATTCTATTCCAACACTGACTCCACTTTCCTCTTCTATTACTTTCCTAATTTCCTCCAGTTCGTAGAACCCATCGTCTGCTTCAATTCCTGTACCATTTTTTTTTTAAAAAAATATAAGTATTATTTTACATAAAAATTAAAAAAAAATTACAATAAAATTAAATTAATATACCTGCACTAATAAGAATTTGGAGGAGATTAATTTTCTCTTTCAATTTCAGAGCTGCTTCGAAGTATTCATGTTGGTCGAGTTCGGACTCGGAGCAGGTGCCATGTTTGATCCATTCATGTGTCCAGAACTTTGTACCGTCGTTGCTGGGACATGACAGTGTTGGCCAGCTCTTTTCCAAACTACTCATCAGGTCTGAAATCTACCACACGTATACCACAACATATGCATATATACCCACATATTAATAAAGGTGTAATCATCATGTTTATATATATACATATGAATACCAGTTATGTTTAAGTAAACCCAAATGAGCAATTAGTATGTACTGCAATATTCAAGGGTCAATTGGGCACTGAGAATGAAATTTGGAGATGAAATATTATTCTTAAGCTAGTTACAAATAGACATCCATTGTATAATAATGGTGCAAAATTGTGTATATAAATAGTATATTGTTAAAAAAGAATTTAAGAGATAAGCTAAGTTTACGTAAAATTTTACTAGAAATGGGAGGAAAAAAAAAAGAGATTAATAAAAAAAAAAATCAAGTTTTTATTTATAATTATTGCAAAAAAATCTACAAATATATATATATGTATAAACACTATCATAACTTTTAAATTTTCAAATAAGTAAATTATAATTAACTTTAATTCATGAACCAAAATCATGTACGAAAACTTAAAAAACACATATTGAAATTTAATTCATGAATCATAATCATTTAAAAAAAATTAAAATATACATATTTATAATATTAATTCTTTATAAAGTAAAAGAGTCCTTTAAGTATTTTTAATTTGAGAGCCTTTTTAGTTCACAAGTTATTATTTTCAACCTGTATCAGTGTACATTACCCATGGTAGCTAGCTAGCTTGGTTATGCCTCTCTCCCTCCACAGAGGAGGTGGAATTTCGAAGGTTAGGCATCCCATAAAAGCTATAATATACATATATATATATATATAATTGATTGATATATAGGTATAGTACCTGAGATTTATCAAAGACATTGTCAGGATCACAGTTTGATGGGTAGGAGCCATTGTTGTAGTTGGGCCAAAGTCCATGAATCCCAAAATCAGCAGCTGGCTTCCCAGATTTTGGATAGCAACAACTATGCTTTGTGTCACAATATGATCCCGGCCACTGTATGCACATATACATACATCATACCATATCATATCATATATATACATTAGTAAATAGACATATATATATATATATAGAGAGAGAGAGAGAGATGTACCAGTTGAACAAAGTAGAAGAAATCAAAGTCCTGGCTGAGAGATAAACAGTGGAGTGATAAAAACTGTAATATGAAGAGAAGGTTGACAATGGCGGAATGGTTGAGCTTCATATCTTTTTTCTTTACTGAATTTGGCTTGTTGAGTTTTCAATATGAGAAACGATGCTACATATATATATATATATATATATATATATACACACACTAGTCGAGGATTTATAGGGAAAAAAAAAGGGGAAATTCAGTAGCTTCGTGCTTGCCAAGCTTGAAAGTTATTATTTTATTGGCATTAGGTATATACATATCCAAAATCCAGATTTACATGTTCTTTTTTGTTCTTATTTTATTATTGTTATTATTATTTTGTAATAAAAGAAACAGATACAGACAATACATTATTTAATCATAACTTATATATTTTATTATAAAAATTTGATCCGAGATTAGTTTTAAAGTTTAAAAAATGTATAAAAATATAATTTTTAAATAAATAAATTTTTATTTACTATAAAATTAAGAAAAAAATAAGTTGATGATGAAATTAAAAATAATTTTTAGAAAAATGAGTGAAAATTTAAGTTCGAATAATATTTTTGAAAGAAAAATCAGAAACTGCAGGTCAAAATGCAATAAAAAAAAATTGCTACATAAGACCGCGCAGTCGGCAGCTTCGACGAACATGACCACGCCGTGTGACAACGCACGCTGACTCAATACCACGTGGGAGGCTACGCTGGCAATTCGCGTATCCGCGATCGAATGGCCCAGATGCGTTCCTGCGCGGGTGGATAGTCCGGATCCATTTTCTCATAATGCGCGATCGGATTGTCGTGATTAAACATGATGAACGATTCAGATTCGTTTCTTTTTTAAACGCAATCGGACGGTCGAGATCAAATCACGATGAACGACCCAAATTCATTTCTTCTTTAAATGCAATCGAACGATCGAGATCAAACACGATGAACGGTCCAGATTTAAGCGAGATAGATGTAAATATCTC